TAATGTTGGGGGTTTAAGCGGAGAGAAAATGTTTTGAGAATGATGTACAAATGCGCTTTACCCAATTGATGTGTGTATGGATTGTGATAACAGTTGTATGAGCCCCTAATAAAATGTTAAAAAAAAAAAGGACAGGGGCCGGCAAAGGAAACAGTCTCAAAAGCATGATTGGCAGATCAACACATCACGGGTGCAGGTGGGATTGTAGGAGCAGGATCTAGACCTGTACATGATGCTGACAGAAGAGTTTACAAGATGGGGCCTTTAACCAAAGCACTCAGAATGTGGCTCATGACTCTGAAACCCACAAAGTCCCGCTGTGGTGGAATCAATTCCATGGCAGTGAGTATGATATCCGAATGTCCCACAGTTCCACCAAGGACACAACCAGGTTTCCCCAGGGCTAGACCGACTCCTCCTCCTCAGCTGGTAGGGGAGTGGTAGTCGTACTCCACTGTGCCTGAGAGCAAGGCTGTCCCCATTGTCAATCAGTTGTCAAAAGAAATGTCAATGAAGGCGTAATCCAAGTGGAGAAACAAAATGGAAGTTGTCACTTCCGCTTTCACTGTAACTGTAGCCTCCTGCAAACCCAGTGCTCAAAATTTAAGCTCTAATACAATTGAAATAAGCAAATTTGGGACTGTGAAAAGTCTATGACTAACGATCAAATTGTTAACAAGAGCATAGGCCAAGATATTTAGCTCAAGCTCTACTGATTAGTTTTCTGATCGCCACTATCTGATACAAAATGGTAGAAGTGGAAGTAAATAGTGAACATCTGCAACTGTCACATGACAAGCACCGTGTGTGTGTGTGTGTGTGTGTGTGTGTGTGTGTGTGTGTGTGTGACTTTCTTAATCCTCACAAAAACTCTATGAGTTATTTCCCCCCATTTTTATAGGTGAGGCACAGAGAATTTAACGGTTTACTATGATCACATAGTTTTTGCCCAATGCAATCAATATATTTGAACTTTTCCCTTCCACCTCTTGCCTGAGGAACCCTGGTAGGATTGTGTTTACAGGATGGGCTGCAAACTACAAGTCAGCAGTTTGAAACTGCCAGCCACTTCAAGATTACGATGAGGCTTTCTACTCCCATAAAGATTTCGTTTCAAAAACCCACAGAAGCAGATCTACTCTGTCCTGTAAGGTCAGCTAAGGCAGTACGTTTTGAGCATTTCTCATGCCTGTTTCTTGATGCATTACACATGCTTACATGCTGGGCAACTGAAATGTATCAGGCAGAATAAGGCTCTCAAAGGAAGTATCATACTGCTGGCGTCCCCCCACCCCTATCCCCTCCATCTTTGAAATACTAAAGCGGTTTTGTTACACAAAACAAGGTCCACAGAACTCCAGCCGTCACTATGCTGTTAGAGGCAAATCCAAACTCCAAACTCACTGCCCTTGGGTCAGTTCTGACCCAGGACCCTACAGTGAGACTGTAACTCTTTATGGGAGTAGAAAGCCCTTTCTCCGAGGAGCAGGGTGGTGGTTTCAAACCCCTGGCCTTGCGCTTAGCAGCCCCGCTCATAACCAGAAGCCCCCAGGGAACCTCATAGGAGGCAAGGGAATTAGAAATTTGAGAGTCGGCATTCAAAAGCCTTCTTTATGGCAAATTTACAACTGTTGACTCTAATAAAACTTTTGATTGATACGTTGCTTCTTACGTTGCTAATACTTTTTTTTTCTTTTTACAAACGTACGGTGGTCCCCAGCAAATTGGATTTTTTAAAAAGGTGGTTCCTGACCAATTAAAAGAGCTGCTGTACAACACTCAAAAATCAAGAGCGTCCTCTGACAGCTACTTCTCAAAAATGCAGCCTTAAGGGCTCTTCCTCACTTCGTGTATAAAAACCAAGCGTTGCAACGACTCATAGAGATGAGCAAACTAAAAGAAAACAAAAATGGCCCTGAAACGAAATGCCGCACCCTAGCACAGAGGAAACGCAGGAAGCCCCACCACCCTTCCAGGCGCCGCCAATAAGGCGTCGACGCGACGGGCCGCCCCTCAGGAGCGTTGGCGATCGCGCGTGCGCAGTCGGTGGCGGTCGCGCGTGCGCAGTCGG